GGAAGACCGGACACAGCGAGAGACAGGCCCTGCCCCGGCTGAGATCAGGGCCCCATTGTGCCGGGTGAGGACAGACACAGCGAGAGACAGGCCCTGCCCCGGCTGAGATCAGGGCCCCGTTGTGCCGGGTGAGGACAGACACAGCGAGAGACAGGCCCTGCTCCGGCTGAGATCAGGGCCCCGTTGTGCCGGGCGCTGCGCACACACAGAGAGAGGCAGTGCCTCCGCCGAAGAGCTGACCATCGAAATGGATGAGATGAAGGCCAGGAGGGAAACTGAGGCACCGTGCAGTGCGTCCCCGCCCGGCTCTGCCTTGGGCTCAGGTCGGTGTGTTACTGACAAAGGGAGCCCCCCACCCAGTCGCTGTCTCCACTTGCCTGGTAGATCCCCTTGCTGGAGGCACGTCTGGGTCAGCAAAGGTCTGGGCTTGATTCTCAGGGCACCTGCTCCTTGCGCTGCTGTTCCAGGAGGGAAACTGAGGCACCGTGCAGTGCGTCCCCGCCCGGCTCTGCCTTGGGCTCAGGTCGGTGTGTTACTGACAAAGGGAGCCCCCCACCCAGTCGCTGTCTCCACTTGCCTGGTAGATCCCCTTGCTGGAGGCACGTCTGGGTCAGCAAAGGTCTGGGCTTGATTCTCAGGGCACCTGCTCCTTGCGCTGCTGTTCCCTAGAGGAACTGCAGAAAAAGGAGAGGAGGCAGAATGAGATAAAACCTATTACAGAAAGTGTTTTACAGACGGGGGGGGGGGGGAGCCGGTCCCCGGGGCAGGCTGGGACGTGCTCCGGTTCACAGTCCCTTGGAGGCCAGCTGGGGGGACGTGACGTTCGCCGCCCCTGTCTACACTGAGCGCTGGGGCCGGGCAATGTACGCGTTTCGGCACCCGTCTGGGAATCTCCACGTTGAACCTCTCTAGACCGGCACCCTGGGGACCCGAGCGGCCGAACCAGAGGATTTCCCAGGCCACCGGAGGTCAGTGTTGTCTAGCAGCACGACCAGCACGGCCCCTGCTCCCTGGGCGCTGAGAAGACACCAGGGGGAAAACTAGAGCTAAGTAACAGCCCAGAACCCTGCGAGCCAGGCCTGGGGGCTGTGAACAAACTTTCTGGGACCACGGGAAATTTGGCCACGCTAGCCTGTCTCCCCGAGGGAGTCGTGACGTCCCGGCGCCGCTCTCCGTAGTGCACCAGCTCGAGTCCCTCCGTATGGCACCACCCCTAGTCTGTCCCTCCGGCTCGCTCCCAGCTGCAGTGGAGATGCCCGTGTTCCGGGTGTGCCCTCGCGCTTTACGCAGCCAGTGTCGGTCTCTTGCACAGATGGGGAAACTGAGGCGTGGCAGTGATGTGACTTGCCCAAGGTCACCACCAGGTCAGTGGCAGGGCAGAGAAATAGGCCCTACATCAGTGCTCTACCCACTAGACCACACTGCTGCCCAGTCAGGTGCAATTTGCAGGGCAGAGCAGCATTGGCACGTTCCCTCCTCCCCAAACCTGCCCGGTTTCCGACGTCCCTGTTCGCTCTGACTGGCTTTACCCCGGGGGCCTTCGCTCACTTCCCTGGAGTTGCTCCTGACGTGCGTCGGCGTAAACGCCCGGGGATCAGACCGGCCAGTGCGCTCTGTTCTTGGGAGCGATTTCCTTCCATGGCCGAGGGACGTTTCTGAACTGTAGGCAGCATCTCCTCCCCAAACCTGCCCGGTTTCCGACGTCCCTGTTCGCTCTGACTGGCTTTACCCCGGGGGCCTTCGCTCACTTCCCTGGAGTTGCTCCTGACGTGCGTCGGCGTAAACGCCCGGGGATCAGACCGGCCAGTGCGCTCTGTTCTTGGGAGCGATTTCCTTCCATGGCCGAGGGACGTTTCTGAACTGTAGGCAGCATCTCGGCGGGATGCGGGGCGGCGGGGGAGTGCGATTCACCGGGGGGGGGA